TCATTTGAACCCATTCTCATTTGAACCCTTCTCGTCTGAACCCATTCGCAAAACGCCCTTCGCGTTTTAACCTTTCGCGTTTCGACCCTTTCTCATCTGAACCCGTTGTCATTTGAACACCGTAGTGAGGTATAGAAAGAAGGAAAAACAGTTGAGGATGAAGGTTGAAGATGAAGCGAAGCGGCCCCATCTCTTGCATAGCACATGAAACAATTTTCCATATGCCTGCGTGCCACCCCGAGTCTGTTGACGTAGCTACATGGTCACATGGTGACGTGGTTTCAAAAGTGCTAGCGCAGATTCAGTACTTCATTTCTCTTCTGTCGCTGTATGTCGTTAAGATGTCGTCGTGTGGAGCGGATGGATCATTGTGCTAGTCGTGTGCTATTGCTTTTAATGGCCAATTCGGGTGGTAATTTTCCCTGAAAAAAAGTTTTCCCATATCTTCGGCAAGAGCGTTCGCGTGGTCAAAGGCTGGCGGGTGCAAGCTTTTCGGGTTGCGCTTCTCAGGCGTGTACCGCCAATTTACCAGCAGAAGTTTTCCCGAGCTCCAAGAGGTCGGGCAGCTTGTCTGCCAGACTGTATGCGGTATCGCCACATCCGAATCGGGATAGGGAACCAAACGAAACAATGCTCGCTGAGGCGGCAAATAGCGGGTTCGAGTGGCAAACGAAGCCATCGAGACAGGCACCCTTTTGTGCTCTGAGACAAGATAGCAGAAACAACGAAGAGAAAGATAATTTATGTTTCAAAGAAAGTCAACATTTTTGTAAGAATTTATCCAGCCTGAGCAAGGTATGTTTGCTCTGAGACACGGGCTGCATCATACATCACTTTATTTTACAACTCTGTAATAACAAGTTATTACACCGCTGAAAAAAAAAGTATGCATAGTGATGCAGTTTGAAACTTGAACACGCATTACAATTTCAAGGAGTGCGGGTGCAATGAGAAGACTGAGAATTCCAAAAAAAGGTACTAGAGTTTTAGTAGATCGTTCCGATACCCCCGATAGCCCCGATAACGACACTATATGCATGCGCAAGGGAGGCGGTGGCGGAGTATCGGGTATCGTTATCGGAGTCATGGGAACGATCTACTAAAACTCTCTAGTAACAGTAAACAGAATATGGAAAGCGACGCTGACAAGCCTCCGTGGCAACAGTTAATCGAAAATCCAAACGAAGTTTATTGAAATTTGACGCGCGTGCGGGCAGCACCACACTGATTTATACATCTGCCCTTTCATTGATTTTATATTTTAATATTCTGTCAGCTGTACGGACTGTGGTAATGCCAATATTTTGAAAAGTTCTGTGAAGCCGCTTCTGTTTACACACATCTCAAAGAGTCGTAATTTATGTTGTTGGCGTATGCAGCGTGCTCATGGTACCATATAATGATCGAAGAAGTTAACAGAGCTCATTTGCGACCCAGTTAAATAAAAACGCCAGTTTATTGTGCTTTGCATTCGGGTGGAGGGGGTCACGTGATGCGCCGCTGGCGCGTTTTTGGTCGCCGGTGCCACAGGCAAGGACTCGAAGGCAATTAATTTCCCCGATTTCGCCATAAATACCGCAGAAAGATTGCGAGATCATGATGTTAGATTAATTTGGGTTCGAAATGAGAGGGGTTAAAATGAGAAAAATCTTTCTGACAATGGTGAAAACCAGAAAGTATGTTTTGAGAAAATTTGAAATGAGAAAGGTTAAAATGAGAAAAGTCGTTTTGAGAAGGGTCAAAACCCGAAAGTTTGTTTTGAGAACGGTTTAAATGAGAAAGAGAGAAATGCGAAAGTTGTTTTGCGCTGGGTTGAAATGAGAAGGTAAAAACGAGAAGGTAGAAATGCGAACGGGTTCAAATGAGAACCACCCCTTAAATCATATCGAGTGCTAATGCACTCTACCAGTTATAAAACTAGGTTTTTGTTACCTTTCTCTTCATTATTTTAGTGGAATATTCTTGCTCTTTACTCCGATAATAAGAATCGGCCCTCTCCAATCGCTGCGTGAAGCTGGTTTGCTTTTGCGGCCACTGGCAGATGAAGTGTCGGCAATAATCGGGTATGCGACAGGGGTGCGTACAGCTAATGGTTGTATATTCGTAGTAAGTGAGGCGGGTTTTCGATGAAAATATCCCTTTCCACCAGGACAAGCAGCTTGCCGGCTTGTGGCACCGTGTTTTCGTGTCTTCTGAAAACGACATAAAGTGGCGTGCCCGTATCGACAGCGATTTTCTGAGTTTGAACTATCAACCTGAAAACTGGTCAGAAGACCTATCTGACAAGATGTTTTACTTTCTGTGTGTGCGTATCTCTTGTAGGCGAAATCCTAATACGGTGAGAAACGGAGGGAGAGAAGGTCAGAGCGCGCGAAAACGGCAGAGCGTCGAGCTCTCATCGGAAGGAGTGTATACTCGCTGTTCGAACGCGTTGGGACGCAAAACACTGCGCGAGGAGCACACGATGCTCACTCCGATTGGAGGCAACCCGTGGGCAGAGCCAAAGGCAACTGGCCTTGGCGCCTATCCACTAATCCCCCCAATCATTCGGAGCTCGGCGCTCTCTCCCTCGTCTTCGAGAGCGACCCTGACGTTCTTGGACGTGTCCGCCCCACGCCGCTGTGCACGTGATGCGTCTCGATAGAGCCGCTCTGATCCTCGAGGATAGCCCGGTGCACAAAGAGGTTCAGGATGCAACACGTGCGTTTCTCTGCATTGCGCACGCACATTCTGCGAACAGTTCCGCGCGCGCGTGAGTGCGCCGGCGGTCGCTTCTCCGGCTCCTGCAGCGCCGCCCTCGTCGCGGTCCACGATTTCGCCACGGCCGGCCGCCCGGGCACTTTCGCTGGTTGACGGCCTGCGGCTTCACCCGGAAACTGGTGGCGTGCACTGCGCGACTCGGCAGCTGGCCGTCTCTCAGCACATGCGGCTACGTTTGGCTGGCGTCCGTGCCGTGATCGGGGCGCTTTTTCTCCCCGCCTGGGAAGCCCGCGGGGGCGTTTGCCGCGGTCGCCCAGCGGGCCCCCTGCAATTCAACTGAGCGTGGAACGAGAAGCACCTTGTTTATTTACGGCTCCGCGAGTGCGCCCTCTGTGTCCTGATGGCTGATATTGGCCTTCGGGATGGAGTCTCCGGGAGCCGAGAAGGACCAACTGTCGTGGCGCGCGCGCATACGCCGATGGAACCTTTTCCGGGACCAATGGGCGCACTGGGTGTCCTTTATATCTTTGTGGGGGCTAAAGTGCTTTCCTCGAGCTGAACTCTCGAATACGCTGTAGCTGCGCGAGAACCCTCGCTTGCCAGTCTAAACAGGACGAGGACTTCTGAAGTTGAGCTACGGTGGCTAGAAGGAGAAGTGTCAGAATCGCACAGCTTGCTCCGTGTGCGGCGGCGCGCTAGTGTATCATGACGACGATAGGTGCCTGGCGCGCGGCGCCGCGCCAGGAGATGCTCGTTCCCGTCTGTAAAAGTGCTCTTTCTGGAAAGATTGCCCCCATGCGTCCAGACTACCGCGATGTAAAAACGGCAAACACACTGCTTTGTTCCCGGATGCACCATGGCATGCGCTTATGCGAGAAAGAGAAGAATGCCTCCTTCCTCGCCGCGACGATGATGATGATGACAAAAGCGTCGGCAGGTTTATTCTTGTGTTACGTGAACCCAAAGTCCAGAATCTACATAGTTTAACTACATCTACATGTACGTGCCGATTGGAAAAAAAAAAAATCTGATCTTCTGCACAAAGGTGGAACAACCGAAACCACGGAACGTGCAAGTAGCTCAAGCGGGTAGCTTCGAATTGTGCTCCCACTGCACGAGGACTCGTGCAGCGGGGGCGCAATCGACCACAAGAAGCTCGCACTTGTGTCCTCTAGGGTGCCTTCATGTGCGCTTTGCTTAGGGTGGAGACATTTGGCCATTTTGTCCCACACGTTTATTTTTCTTTTTTGTTCAGAAGCGCGTGAAAGAGCGTGTCGCTGCGCGAGTTCCTGGCGCTGACTGTGCTATGCCAACATTTTGTTTTCGTCAATTGCTTTGTATTTTCCCCATGAGCGCGTGCTGTCGGCATCGGGTACTACAAAGGGTGGCATCACCCTAAACAGAAGGACATTGAGGCACCCTAGTGTCCTCCATTGTGCAAGGATTCTACAGCTTCCAATGGAGGGCACACTTCTGAAAGGGTTTTGTAGTAAATATAGATACAGCGCCATATGAAGCAATGTGGAGCGGTTCGCATGACACTCGTGCGGTGTCGAAGTAACTCGCCAAAAGAGCATCAGTTAATTTCACAAAAATTAAACTCTTCGAGAAAGAAAAGAAGAAAGATTAAGCAAGCAAACATTTCAGAAATGTTATTCCATACAAAGAGCACCTTCTGGGAAATATAATTATGATTAAAGTAACTTTTAATCGAATTTAAGTTTTTGCCGTGTATGATAGTTTTAGCGCGATTCATTTTGTGCAAAACTATTCGTTTACGAGTATGAATAAAAACAAAAACAATTGGGCGAGAACGGCAGGGAGGTCTTTCAGCTGTCATGCCTCCAGCGCGAACTTCCTACCTTAGATCATGCTTCGACGTCTCATGAGCTTCGCGTGTTCACGCGCAGCCAATGCACGACGGAAGGCAACGAGCGCGTGCGACAGACATCCGAAAGAGACGCCTTGCGCTTTTTGTTCGTGTCAAATTTGAGAAACCCACATGCATCGAATATTTTTGAAGATTGTTTTCAGTGCCTCTACCAAAAAAACAAGTTCATATACTTTCAACCGCTTAAAAAAACCAAGCTGAGGCGCGCGTGTGTGCGCGTGTGTGCGTGCGTGTGTGAGGGAGTATGTGTGAGTGTGTGTGCGTGCGTGTGTGTGTGTGCGTGTGCGCGCGCGCGCGCGTTGTCTAAGTTTGTTGTTTTCAAGACTCGGGTTTTCAAGATGTTGACAGCTCGCCTGCTTGTCCTGTTATTTTTACCGTTTTCTCACGTTCGCGTTTTCTTTTTGTGCAGACAATGGTGAAGGTGTATGCCCGCGTGCTTTGCGCGGACATGGAGTACAAGACACTGTCCATCGACCCGGGCACGTCGAGCACGGACGTGGTGCGGATGCTGCTGAACAAGTTCAAGATGAAGCACAGGGACCCGAACCTCTTCTACCTGACCATGGAGGTGTGGATGCGCAAGACGGGCATCCCCATCCGGACTATCATGGTGCTCGACGACGAGGCCCGCCCCGTCGAGCTCCAGTCCTGCCACCCCAAGGGCGAGTCCAAGTGAGTGTCTTCCCTCCCCTGCGCTGCCTGAACCCACGCGGGTGACGATTCTAAGCTTGAGTCGACCGAACCGCGGGGGGTGGCAACTTGTTCGGGATGAACCGCTCTGTTGGGAGGAAGTAAAAGCGGAAGAGGACAGAAATCTTCTTGCTCATTAGCTTCACACTTATCCATGTGCATATACACATTGAGATTTTAAACGAAATAGCAATGGGGAGCCGGGCAAGGGTGAAGGTGATACATAACTAAGGTTAAAAACACGGTGAAATGTAATCCTGAAAAGAGAAAGCTCCGACACTAGAAACAAACACACGAATGGAACCGAATAATGTTCGCATCATCTGCAGCATAAAATATAATAAAGGCCGAAAGTGATAGACCCAAATAAATGTAGACATTCTTTTGCTTACTCGTCCCCACCCAGCTGGGAGGCATATCCGGAATGGGCAACGAGAAAACAATAAAACATTGCAACCTGCAAACAGTAAAAAATAAAAAAAAGGGAAGAAAAAAAAGAATGGGTGATAATTACGCACAGCGATCGCCATTTGTAGAGTTCAGATTGCTGGTAAGATTTTAATAAACACAAAGAGGTAACAAACCATCACTTGCACGGTCGTTGCCTAATCTCTTCTTGCTTTATTGCACGAGAAAACGCCGGCGGCATGTAGTGTAAAAACGTAAACAATCCGGTGGCTGAGCAATTAACAGGCCTAACTTTGCGTCTGCCTCCGGACTTTCTGTCGTTCTTTTTCTCGGTCTTCCCCTCATGCTCAGTGCTTACGATTTACCACGCTCTAGTCCCGGTTTTGTACCCCTGACCTACGCGAAGTAGAAGCGTTCCAGCTGTCCTAATCTCGCATAAACAACCAACGGATCCGAACAGACCAACTCGACGGCTCGGCCGGTCCCGCGACTGCAGCAACCTCGCCAACCTCGCCGCGCATGCGCACCGCTGAGTAAAAGGAAATGAAGTAAGGTACTCTGTCAAGTTTAGAAAGAGTTATATACGTGAAAACAGGGGACCCCATCCCCTGTTTTTACGTATATAACTCTTTCTAAACCTACATCATTACCAACGCGCTCACTAAGAAGTTTACTCTGTCAACTTCTGCCGAGATCTGTGGGTTTCCACCAGATTCCACGGAGCGGTTGTGGCACGATTTGGGGCGCTCCGCAGGGCGGACGCTGCAAGAGATCAACGAGCGGAAGATGACCAACTCGAGCCAGATCCGCGAGTGGAATATGCGCGCCCCAAATGGAGCGCTTTTAGAGCGCTTGAGATCTGCGAGCGGCATTTACCATAAGGCCCAACCCGAATGCCCCCTGTCAAAAAATAAATAAATAAATAAATAAATAAATAAAACGCGACAAAGCGGAGCGCGTCGGGAAAACTTCCCGCTAAAAGTGCACGCTTCCCGCTTTCGGTTTACCTGCCTACTTCGCTGAATAAAGCGGATATGTTTAACCTGAACTTTTATCGCCGTCTTATCCACAAAAAACAAACAAAAAACAGATTATTGTAAAAAACTAAAAATCTCGTTGATTTTTTTTTTAAATTTTACTAGAGTGGTGAGAAAGTGTGAACACGTCTATATTGCTAATGGTATTATTACAACTTTCGCAAATTTCGTATGCATCTAAGTGTGCAATGTGTTTTATTTTATTTTACAGGTTTCTGCTGCAAATGAGGCGAGGGGGCTTGGTTAAAGTTTACGACAGCTGCCTCATGGCCGGGGTAAGTGAGAATATTGAATAAAATAATAATATCTCAATAATACATACGCTCATGCATTTGAAGAATCACAACTCTTTGTTACAATTTACATAGAGAAGGTAGATGCTCCTTCAGCATTGGTTTAAAAATGAAGACCGCGTAACTGAAACTTCAATGTACGAGGATTTTTCACAGATAAGAATGTACTATGAATTTCTGTGGGATGCATCGTTTCACACCTGTAGTTCAAGCGTGATGATAAAATTGTCAGCTTTAAATACATTCCTTTTAAATTAAACCAGGAAAACAATATCATTTCTATAAGATTATTTTTTATAGAGTTTGAATTTAATACTTGGAATTGAGTACCACGTACGAGGAATTTTAAAATTGGAACACCTCCTTAAATTTTACCTTTCCCTTTTCTTTAGGCACGACTTTTCCGCAACCTCCGTACACTAATATTTGATAGTAAGACATATTGATTAAATTAAAGAGGTATGCAGTACATATATCGTGATCGATGCCTAAAATTTTGATATATTGACATTTTAGTCGTCCTTTGTAGCCTTCAATATCGCTCGACTGTTAACCTCTTTCCTGCTTCAATCGATAACGTAAGTAATATATAAAAAAAAAGCCGTTAAAGGTAGACTTATCCGGTTTGTACAGGTGAGTTATACGTCCAGGGGGACATAGTAAAGGGGTGTAATCGTAACGATCGGTCGGCTAATTAACTAAATATGTTAATTAACGTTTTCACTATTAAAAATAAAGATGTGGTTTTAATTAGAAACGTTTTGAGCGTGTTCGAAAACCACTAAATCAGTCAATATTTGACAGACTTGGAGCAGGTGGGAAGCAAGGTTGAGCGCTAGTTGCCACTCGTGCATTCGGAGCAAGGCTACCAGCGCAATAACTGGCCTGCGCGGTTTTTCCGTATCTTACAATAGCCTTGTGCCTGTTGCACGAGTGTGTTTTTGGCACAATATTGCGCTTCCCAGGCACTCAGTCCTTCTAAACATTACTGATTTAGTGGTTTTTGATGACGCCTAGCAAGTTTCTAGTTGGAACCATATGTCTATTTTTACTAATTAAAGTTAGTTAAAAATTCTACTTATTGTGACTTTTAGCCACTTCTAATATGTACCCCTGGATGTATAACCCACCTGCACAAACAGCATTGGTGCTAACTTTTCGCGGTTTTTGTTTTTTTAACAAATCTTAAGTTTAGAAAGAAAAACCCTGTCCAGTCACCTTGAGAGAATTCTAAATAAAAATATTGGTAAATAACTCGGGACATCCTCCTAACATAAACATTTCAGTATTGAGATTTTGTTTTAATTCAGAAAATTTAATTAGAAATGCAAACTGGGATTCCATTACTACTGAAAACAAATGTTTACGAAAGGAATTGTATTATTATCAAAAATTGAGCTCATATGTGAATAAATGAAAAAAAAAAGACCACAAAAATTGAGACAGGTATTTCAATCCACTTTAAGAAAATCGAAACCGCACATATAAAATAATTTTGGGTAGACTGTCCCATCCAGGGATGACATATCGGATGACATCGGGGGAAAATAAATTGCTTCAAGCAAAGACTTAAACTAGGGTTCGGTTGATTTGCGACGATATTTAATGTGGATTCGGTTTCAAAGCGCGATGAGAGTAGGGGTGACTCAAATCAAATATACGATGTTACAATCAAGAAATGTTCCTCAGAATTTGTAAGCGTTGATCATTTTTATATTTTTTCCGACAGCGTACATTTCTCAATAAATTTCAGTTACTCAATACTGGACATGTCTTTTTCACACATGCAGTGTATGTATCTATGTAGTATGTACTAAGCCGGGTGTAAAGGAAGTTGCTTGTCTTCATTGCACATCTGGTTTGCTCTCAGCCTAATACTGCTTGTTTCAATGAAGTTTGAAAGGATTTCCGTTTTGTTTGTGTTGCAGTCCTTGTACAAAAGCCTTCTGGTATCCGAGCGGACAACGGCGGAGGAAGTTGTCCAGTTGGTCCTCCATTGCTACAACTCCAGCGAAAGGGCATCAAAGTTCTCCCTCTACGAAATGTGCCCAGTAAAAAATTGTAAGCATCTTACTGGTCTCTTTGATTGGCTTAGTCAAAATTCAATGAATATGCAAGTCATAATTGGCTACCCAGTTCACATTACATTCCTAAAAGAAGCAAGAAAACGGAAGTGCAGAATGTTATTATTGCCTGAAATCTTTAAATTAGTGCGAAAGCCTTATTTCATTTATAATTTGTCAAATTGACTTATTTCGCACACAGACGAACGAGCGCTTCACTCTCATGAACTCCCCCTGAGGATCCAGCAGAACTGGCCATCCCCGGAACATTTTGCTTTCCACCTGAGGAGAAATCAGGAAGGGACACATCAAAAGCGTCAAGTAAGCTCATTATGGAAAAACCGCTATTCCCATAAACTTTTGTTCATAAAGTAAGGATCATGTGGTTAGCTTCAGGGGAAAGGGAGGAGGAGGAGGAGGAGGAGGAGGAGGAGGAGGAGGAGGAGGAGGAGGAGGAGAGTCGAGCTCAGCTGTTTTGCCAAGAAAGAGTAAAAAAAAAACTCCAAGTATTAATTAAATGTAACAGATGCACTTGAGTCCCAAATTCAATTTCCTATTTTATACTTAAAGCTATTTTCATACCTTTTCTGTAAGACTGGAGTAATGTTGGCTTATGGTTTCTACAATGCTAAAAGTATCGTCGAGGTGTATAGATCGTCGAGGCGTATGCCTACAAGGTTCACAGCAGAAACAATTCACTATAACGGGTTGACCCTTGTGTCATGGTTCTTCTGATTCTGACATTACAGCTCCCATGGACGTGCCAAACAGACTTGTCTGGCCACCTCAACTTCCGGCTGAACGCCTCACGCAACGAGCTCAGTCCCGCAGCTATCCACTCACCCACGCTGAAGCCATCGTACAACAACTACGAGAACTGCTTTTATATCTGAGAATGTCTAAAGTGTCAAAGTGTCATGCTACAACTACAGTCGCACAACGAGACATCGGCGTCCAAGCAGCGTTCAGTGTGCAACGCCTAACACTGCCGCGCATCAAGTGTCGTAGAAAGCTATGAAGGTGTGATTGATCTTCCTATGCTGAACTGCTGAGACAAATTCACCGTTGACAACACTGTATGTATGTGCATAGAGAAGTGCACTTTGGAGTGACACGAACCGGACGCCCGGAAGAATTGCTGAGGGTGCAAGCGCCTTATGTTTAGCTGTGACCAACGAATGAGGATCATCATAAGGCATGGCATGAAACTGCCTGTATGGCTATCGCAAGACTGCATCGGTGCCAGTACATTTTCTGTTGTAACATAAAATGCTGAGAGCTACTCTCTTAATTGAAAGATAGCAATATTGCTCCACCGTCCGACAACTGCTCAACATCAAGTTACACCGCTTATCAAACTATGCTTGTTCCATTTAAGTATTTAAGTAAATTCTTCCCTTCTAGCGAAAAACTCCTATGGTGCAGGTTTTGCCTCACTTGTGGTCATTTTTACCATTGTCTCAACTTTGGTTCATTACATAATGCAATCGAGCTGCTCAGACCCATTGCATGAATTCTGAACTCTTTATTTTAAGAAATATTTTACTTGCTTAACAATGTAGCTTTATTCTACAGTACTTGGTGCCCATTCTATCTATCTAAACATTTTGGTAAGCAATTCCTAAAGATATATTAGAATAAACGCAGAAGTTTGCTAAAAAAATATTTGTATGTCTCCTCTAATATACAAATTCCGAGTTATTATTAATTAATTTGATATTTGCTTTACAGAATGAGCTTGTTGCAGTGATTTATCTGTGACAACTCGCCTCCCCTCTAGCCAAAAATGAGCCATGTCTCAGAAACTCGGAAGCTCTATTATACACCTGCATGTGGACCATTGCATGAGCTCCTTGTGCTTCCCCCAAACGAATGGCCTTATCGAGTGCTTCGACCACACCCTTTTGGACCTTAATTTAATACAGTATGTTAACTCTAAACCCTCGATCTGCAACGAAATCCTACCCTCTGCCACCTTCGCTTATAAGTCGGCCATGCAGGCTATCACTATATTATGTTGCTACTTGTCTAGACCTAAGAACCACATATATGAACCAGATATGATTGTCTGTGGTTAAACTCGCCTACCGTTTGCAAAACGTTTTTTTCTTTCGTTAAACCAAATTACTCGCTAAGCAACTTGACAAAGCTCCTTATATAATAATAGCTCTATATGCAAAAAAATTCATAAAAATAGTATTTGAAAAATGGTGAATTTTTATTTTTTTTAAAAGCGCTCTTAGACGTCATGGTTGCAGACAGCAAAATCCCTTTTGCCTTCGTCACATTTTTTTCTTTCTCTAAATTTCGCGACGACTTTTCGATCTTTCTCTTTTTCTCTCTCTCTTAGGTTAGAGCGAATGAGCTGCGGTAAACGTGACGTGTTCTACGTGTCATGTTTTATGGTCAGAAACAGTCCCTTATGAAGAAACAAATGTGTTTAGCGAAATTCTCCGTTTTGATGTGTGATTTTTAGATAAACTTTCGCTGTTTAGTTGAAAATTTTCGAGGCATAATTGAAATTGTACTAATAATAAGGCTCACTTCACTATTTCAAAATAATGTTCTTGCCATGTTAACAGTATACAAGGCATCTGTTTTTGATTGAATGGTCCTATGCAGCTTCTGACTTTGTGTACTGAAATGTTTTTTAGATGACATGGGTACCCGGTATTCTTTACCAAAGAGAGATGTAGGAGCATCAGGAAATGTCGGTTTATCGGAGAAGCAGTGAAAGAATCGCCAATTCAGATGCAAGATATGCTCAGTAATTCGCAAGTGTGAACTTCTTATCGAATTTTGTGCACATAGCTGCAAATGATCACATGTACAAAGTGAAATGTGCGTGTTGCACCAATTGTTTTTTCTCCCTTGTGAAGGCATCCGGGGCTTTATCATATGTAATATATCACTGAGTGCCTGTTTGTAGATACATGACTGTGAGGTATATAAAGTACAGATCATTAAAACTGAAGATTATTCAGCAAGCAATGAGCGCCTAACATACTAGTCATGCAACACAACGAATAAGAAAGGAAGACCGAACGAACTTCAAACTGAACTTTAGCTACTTGCACTTGCTATGTAGTCCATATTTGTATCAAGATGCAAGTAAACAGGTAGGGAAACAGTCACCAAACAAAGCTATTGATAGAAATTGTGCTGAATTCCTTGCTATTCATTGAAAGTGAAACAAAGTAAAGTACCCGTTAGTCCAAAGTTACATTCCCAGGCCAGATTTTGACATCTGGAAATTCAGCTTGCTTGAGTAAGATTAAGAACTCTAAAACTCTACTCAATGACCGTTGTCATCTGATAATGGAAGAAAGTAGTTTTCTGAAAAGTTGCATGCTCTTCCTGTCCTGCAAGGAGAGGAGCAGGAAATTGTAAGATGCCATGCTGCTGCACAAACGCTATTTGCGTTCCTTGTCGAATTTGCACCACAATACAATAATAAGGGATAAACATTGCTTCCCAAGTTGTTGTGCAGATATTTGTATAGAAATAGATGCCTAAAGTGCACTGGAAAGGTTTTTTTGATTTCTTCAGTTATCGACACGTGCATGCCGCTTTTATACAAAGCTTGCACACGACGAACTTTCGCGCGCCACACTGGAGCCAGAAGCGCCCCGTTAATGTAGTGTAGGCTACGCTATCACGCCCCAAACAACCAGTGTGACTCGCCAAGTTATGTCAAATTGTCAGTACCAGAACTCTATATAAAATGTACATTCAAAGACGCATCGTTCAGCACAAGGCGAGGAGCAAAAAAGGCCATGAGCGTACTCAAGGTCATGTTTATGGTTGGCTCATGGTTGCTTGCTGGAAACCAATCGCTCCATTCTTCTTTCGTCCTGAGTTTCAAAAAAAAAAAGAAAAGGTTGATAATTCTTGGATAATTTTTTTTTTATTGAAGCGGGGTGCGCATGTTTTTACTTTGCGTGTTTTTTTAAAATAATTATTGGGGCATTTCGATAAACAGTGTCATAACTTCCTCTAAAGGAGGCTATGAGAGTACCCTAGCTAAGGGCACAAAGTCAAGGAAACCTTTTTGGTGCAACTTTAGATGCAGTCTTCGAGTAAACAATTTTTGGAGCATGCAATTTGTCTCCAGCGTTTTCCCAACATTATTTCTGCTGCATATAATTTGTCTCCAACGTTTACCCAGAGAATTTCAGTAGCATGTCAGGTAACCTGATTTGCTTTTTGATAACCTTTTTCTCGCTCTGAAACTTTCGGTATTTATGCAGCATTGATTTGCAAAACTCATTGTTGGTGAATATTGAAAGCCTTTGAATAAAGCAAGATGTAGATTAGCACTACCCAGATAATTAACCGCTCCGCTTGCCTTTCTAACCTAAATGCTAAATGAGCATGCGGACAGTGTTGTTTAATGGGAAGTACAAAAACATGTTGCCTACGAGTGCGGCTGTGTTGCTTCTACATGTTGGGCCTCTGATAACAAGCGTTCGGTTTTAGACGAAATTTGAACAGAAATCAACGTAATTTAAAAATATTGTTTGAACAGTGGTACAGAACGCTTGCATGCAAGATGCTACAGTGACATTACAATCAACACCACATTAATTCAAAACTGTACAAAGCTAGATTGTAAATGATGCGACTGAGTATATTATTTTAATTATCTATTTAAGTCTATTTTGAAGCGCGTACGCATGACCAAAGCAAGATATAGACTATTTTATTTGTGTATATACGTATTGTAAAATACAGAAACAATAAAATTATTGTTTGTATGAAAAATTGCCTTAGAGTTGCCATGTCAATCATTTTACTTAGTCACCATATCCTGTATCTCAGTGGTGTAGGCAGGGGGGGGGGGGTCTAACTCCCCCCCCCGATATGCCAAAGCTAGCTCAATACTTTCTGGTGTATTTAGCTAAGCTTATACAATCATGTTGCCGTGCGGGGTTGTATAAACCTACGGACGCCGCGGCACAATATGGAAGTAAGGTAATCGTGCCGTGTATTTGCACGAACGAGTTTTAGCGGACAAAAACGCGCCCAGTATTTTACTGCGCAGAAGACGATCGAGGGCTTCGAGGGACGGCGAAAAAAACGACTTCGAGTATGGACAAACCATTGTATGGACGACGTTAGAAAGTCCAAAGTCACGTGCCGAAACCACTGCACAATGGCGGAAGAACTGCATCAAGGATGGTGCAAGTCATTCTATAACATAGCTAACGGCGTAGTGTGGCGAACACTAGGAGCCGACAAGCCAAACAGCGTCGAAAGTGTAACGTCACTGCGATCATCACTTTTTTCTGTGGGTCTTTTTGTTTTTATAATCCAACCAAACGCATAAAGTGTGCCGAAGATGTTGCGGTTTTAGTCTGCCATTGTGCAGGGATTCCACAGCCGCTAACAGTGTGCAGTATTTCGAAAGGGGTTTATTAAAACAGAAAAGATGTTTAACGCACACGGTAATATTACTTTTTAAGATTATTCCACCATTCATAAGTACTGAAAAAAATGCAAGACGAAAATGCGGCTTCGTGACTTCTCGAGACAGATATGGGTGGTTTGTTTAAGCCGTAATATGGCGTAATTATCGCTGCAGATGGTGGACTGTAGTTTATGACGACTTTAACCTGAAAGTGGAGCAGAAGAAGGAAAGGATTATTACATTGGTAGAAAAATAAACGGGGAGAAACACGTCTTTAACTCACTTCAATGATTTTCATTTAACCACCTTCCTTGTATACAGATCCACCACGCCACAGAACTGATAAACGATAATGATTGTAATGACTTGAGCCGAACACATCGCTGTCTTGGTTACGACAGGTAGATTTTACTTTCCCCTTCCGATAACAAACAGATAACGAGGTTGACAATTGAAAACACAAAGTCCGCTAAACATAGCGAAAACAGTGAAACGTATCACTACATTACATCCCTACCCTCTTAGTAAGATGCACAGTCTCGTTAGTTAATACACATAAGGTCTCAATCGGGAGACTGGTCGACTCAGTCTTGATGATCTTCGAGGAGGAGGACTTGTCGGCTGGTCATGGACCTCTGCATTTGGTGAAGGCACTTGTTCCGTTGGCTCTTGACGACAGGTGATGGGTGGCAGTTGAACAGCATTGTCCGGGCTCGTTGGGTTGATGCTCACGTCCAGCCAAGCCTTGCGTAGCGGGTCACGGTGGCGTCGATGAATCTCGCCGTTCTCCTGCTGCACTCTGTACGAGACTGGGCCCATTATGGCAACCACCTTTGCTGCTTTTCATCGCGGGCCAGGGGTGAAACTTCTCATGTAGATGGCATCCCCTAGTTGGAACCTCTTCCCCTTTAGGTCTGGTCTCTCCGGTTCTCTAATCCGATCCGGATGAAGCCTGTCCAGTGAGAAACCCAACTTCCGTCCCATCATGAGCTCAGCTGGTGTCTTGCCGGTCACTGAGTGGGGGGTGGTGTGTTGTTTGAACAGAAATCGCGAGATTCTGCACTGGGTATCTCTTTCCGACTGCTTCTTGAGTGTCGCCTTCATCTCCCTCACCATCTGCTCTGCCCTGCCATTGCTTGCAGGGTGGTATGGAGCTGTGTACACAAAGTGGACAGCGTTGAGCCTGAGGAAGTCTTGCATCTCTTGGCTGGTGAATGCAGTTCCATTATCAGACACCATGACGTCCGGCAACCCATGTGTTGCAAAACACTTGCGCAGGCTCCTGATTACGGCAGTAGAAGTCATCGATGGCATGATCTCTACTTCCACCCAGTTGGAATATGCATCAACGATCACCAAGAATACCTCGCCCTTGACTGGGCCTGCGAAGTCGACGTGCAACCTGCTCCAGGGCTGCTCTGGTTTAATCCAGAAGTGTACTGGTGCCTTGGGGTCGCTCTGACGGTTGGTTTGGCACTTGTCGCAGTAGCGCACAAACTCCTCTATCTCTTCATCGAGTTTCGGCCACCAGATTAGGCTACGAGCCATTGCCTTCATCGCCGTCATTCCAGGATGATTTGCGTGCAAGAGCTGTAGGACTTGGCTCCTTGCCGCCTTGGGGATCACCACACGGTTACCCCATAACAAACAGTCTCGATGCACTGACAATTCTGTTTGCCTCACTTCGAATGGTGCGAAGTCTCCACCAGAACTGCCATCGGGCCATCCGCTGAGCACCCACTGCTTCACCCTTGAGAGCTCTGTGTCCTTTCTGGTCAAGCCCGCAATGTCAGTAGCCAGAAGTGGGGGGTACTGGACGGCTTCAAACATTAGGATGTCACCGGGTGGTGCTGGTTCGTCAACATCTCAAGGCAGTGGCAGCCGGCTTAGACCATCCGCGTTAGAGTTGTCTTGACCCTTCCAGTACTTGATCTCGTAGTTGTAGGCACTCAACAGGAGTGTCCACCGTAGCATTCAAGGTGAAAGGACCTCAGGCATGCGCTTGTCTGTGCCGAACAATCCCAGTAGCGGCTTATGATCTGTTATGATCGTAAAACTTCTTCCTGCCAGATACTGGTGAAAGTGTCTAACCCCGTAGACAGCAGCAAGACCTTCTCGGTCACTTTGTGCATAATTCCGCTCGCTCTTGCCAAGGGTACGTGAGGCATATGCGATAGGAAGCTCATTCCCGCTGTCGTCTTGGTGTGCCAACACTGCTCCAACCCCCACTGGTGAAGCGTCGCAGCATAGCACCAGAGGACGGCTGGTGTTGTACTTCACCAGAAGCGACTCAGAAGTCAGCAGTTTCTTGAGGCTCTCAAAAGCGTTCTGGTGCTCCCTTGTCCAGGTCCACTTACGCTCGTTGTCTAGCAGGCGATGCAAAATCTCTGCAACCTCTGCCTTCCCTTCCAGGAATCGACTGTAGAAGTTCACCATGCCCAAGAAGGCCTGTAGTTCTTTTCTGTTAGTTGGAGCTGGAGCGCTGTGGATTGCTGCAACCTTGCTGGCACTTGGGTGAATCCCCGAAGCATCGATCTTGTGTCCAAGGTACTCATGCTTGTCTCGCCAAACTGGCACTTGTCCTTGTTGACCCTCAGCCTGGCGTCTTGTAACCGTCGCAACACAGCCTCCACACGCTCGTTGTGATCTTGTTTCGTTTTTCCCGAGAGGATGATATCATGCAGGTACGCTACAACACCAGGGATTCCAGAGATCAGACTGTCGACGACCGCTGAAACAGTCCCGGTGCTGCGGAAACACCGAAAAGCAGTCGTCGGACTCTGTGCACTCCTTTTAAAGGGGTGTCCAAACAGGATACTACAAAACGCACGACTCCGACAAATCGTGAAAATTGAAGCGGGCTTGAAGCGGGCGCGAAGCGGGCGCGTCCGCTTCCATTTTCACGATTTGTCGGAGTCGTGCCTTTTGTAGTGTCCTGTTTGGACACCCCTTTAGGTGTTGATCGTGAGGAGCTCTGCAGACTCATCGTCCAGCGTCAGCTGCTGGTAGGCCTGCGCGAGGTCAAGTTTCGTGAAGATGCAGCTGGTGCCTATTGCCGCAAACACTTTGGTGGTGGTCGGTAGAGGGTAAACATTGCTTTTCACTGCCTTGTTCACCGTACTTCGATAATCCCCACACAGTCTCAGGGACCCGTCTTTTTTTCTTACCAGTGGCGTCGCCCAGCTGGCATACTGGGTAGGCTCCAAGATGCCTTGCTTCTGGAGGCGGTCCAGCTCGTTGTTGACGTCTTCACGAAGGGCAAATGGCACCGGACGACACTTGAGGAACTTCGGCTCGGCGGTGTCTTTCAGTTCAATGTAAAGGGGTGCTTTTGTGAATCCTGGCAAGTCGCTGCCGAAAATCTCCTGAAAAGCTTCCGTTAGATCCTCTTCGGAGCTGCTCAGCTTTTGGATGCCTTGCACTCCAATCCCCAGCGCTGGAAACCAGTTCCTGCCCAGCAAACTGTTGCCTTGCCTTCCGACCACTAGCAACGACAATGTTGCAACGTGATCTCTGAATATGACGTCCACCATCGCTTTATCGAGGGTCGGCAGCGTTTCACTGGACCATGTGACCAGTTTGGTGCTCGATTCCACGATAGCGATCTTTTTTCTTGAGCTTGCTTCAATTTTCCTGAACGTGTCTTCGCTGACTATCGAACAGGATGCCCCAGACTCCACTTCCATGGTGACTTGCTCATTTGCAATGGAAACCTCGACCATGTACGTCTTTGGTGCCTCGGTTAGCTCGCAGATGGAGAATAACTCATCCACTTCGTGCACCTGTTTTGCGTTTCCACGCTTGCTTCCCGTCGCTGGCTGCACCGCCTGTTTTTTCGAACGACATGCTGCCGCGATGTGCCCTAGCTTCTGACACTTATAACATGTCGATGTCTTGAACTTGCATGAAGTTGGAAGATGCTTACCATTACAACGGTAGCAACTCTCCTTCTTTTCGTGAGGCCAGCTCTTCTCTGCGGTTGCATGCACGCTGGCGTCGCCGTCCGCGACCGTCTTTCGATCTTCGTAGATGTCCTTCAGCTGCCTGGCTGCGGCTTCCACCGTGAGCGCCAAATCATACGCCGCGTCGAACGTCAGCTTGTGCTCGGCGAGCAGCCTCTGTTGTATCGCCTCGCTGCGAATTCCAGACACAAAACGATCACGGAGCATGACATCGAGCGGCAACTGTTTGTCCCCGAACTCACAGTCCCCGCTAGCTTGCGGAGAGTTGTCACGTAGTCAGCGATGCTTTCCCCCGCCGCTTGACTTTGCTTGTAAAACTTGAATCTTGCGTAGAGCTCGGAAGGCCGCCGGTGCATGTGCGACTTCACTGCTGCCACAATGTCTGCATAGTTCAC